AACTCACAGCAATCCTCCTGTCTCAACCTGCTGAACCTTGGATTTATAGGCATATACCACCACAACTGCTGGTTCATTTTTAAATACTTTAATAGAGCTATTCTAGCAGTATAAAGTAGTATATTATTGTGATTTTGATTTGCATTTTCCTAATGACTAATCTTTTCTTGTGTTTGTTGGCCATTTGTATATCTTTGGGGAAAAGATAAGTTTTGAGAAGCATGATGACAGTATTTAACATGATGACTTTTTCCTCCTTTGGTTAAATTTATCTTGATTATACTTTCAGTATGTATTATTAGAGCAGGGGTTGGTAAACTGTAGTCTGTGGACCCAGTCTAGCTTGATGCCTTTTGTTATATGGTCTGAAAACTAAGCATTTTTATACGTTTTTAATTGTTGGGGAAAAATCTAAAGAATGTTTCATGGCTCATGAAAAATATACAGGGAAATAAAATGCTAGGGATGTAGTTCAGTGCAAAGGCCTTAGGTTCAATCCCCAGCACCACTATCACCCCCCAAAAAAAATAAATTGAAAAGGAGGACAAGGAGGAGGGGAGAGAGAAGTAGAACAGAAAGGAACAGGGAAGGAAAAGGAAGAGGAAGAAGAAAACTATACAAGGAGCTGAGCATGGTGGCGTACATCTGTACTTCTAGTGTTCATGAAAGATGAGGAATTAGGGTCTTGAGGACAGGGCCAGCCTGGACTACATAATGATACTCAAGAAATAAACAAAAGAGATGAAATTCAGATTTCAATACCTATAAATTTGGAAGAGGATACACAGCCACCCCTGTCATTTACATATGTCTCTGACAGCTTTCATACCACAGGGGCAAAGTTGAACAGCTGTCACGGACAGTGGCCCATGAAGCCTAAAATTATTTACTTTTTAGGTCTTTACAAAATGTTTGCTATAGCCAGGCATGTGTAATCCAAGTTACTAAGTCAGGGGAATGACAGATTCAAAGTCAGGTTGGACAATTTTTATCTCAAAATAAGAAAAAAAAAAAAAAAAAAAA